CTACATTAGTAAGAGTTAGCTACATTAGTAAGAGTTAGCTACATTAGTAAGAGTTAGCTACATTAGTAAGAGTTAGCTACATTAGTAAGAGTTAGCTACATTAGTAAGAGTTAGCTACATTAGTAAGAGTTAGCTACATTAGTAAGAGTTAGCTACATTAGTAAGAGTTAGCTACATTAGTAAGAGTTAGCTACATTAGTAAGAGTTAGCTACATTAGTAAGAGTTAGCTACATTAGTAAGAGTTAGCTACATTAGTAAGAGTTAGCTACATCAGTAAGAGTTAGCTACATTAGTAAGAGTTAGCTACATTAGTAAGAGTTAGCTACATTAGTAAGAGTTAGCTACATTAGTAAGAGTTAGCTACATTAGTAAGAGTTAGCTACATTAGTAAGAGTTAGCTACATTAGTAAGAGTTAGCTACATTAGTAAGAGTTAGCTACATTAGTAAGAGTTAGCTACATTAGTAAGAGTTAGCTACATTAGTAAGAGTTAGCTACATTAGTAAGAGTTAGCTACATTAGTAAGAGTTAGCTACATTAGTAAGAGTTAGCTACATTAGTAAGAGTTAGCTACATTAGTAAGAGTTAGCTACATAGTAAGAGTTAGCTACATTAGTAAGAGTTAGCTACATTAGTAAGAGTTAGCTACATTAGTAAGAGTTAGCTACATTAGTAAGAGTTAGCTACATTAGTAAGAGTTAGCTACATTAGTAAGAGTTAGCTACATTAGTAAGAGTTAGCTACATTAGTAAGAGTTAGTAGTAGAGTTAGCTACATTAGTAAGAGTTAGCTACATTAGTAAGAGTTAGCTACATTAGTAAGAGTTAGCTACATTAGTAAGAGTTAGCTACATTAGTAAGAGTTAGCTACATTAGCAAGAGTTAGCTACATTAGTAAGAGTTAGCTACATTAGTAAGAGTTAGCTACATCAGTAAGAGTTAGCTACATTAGTAAAGAGTTAGCTACATTAGTAGAGTTAGCTACATTAGTAAGAGTTAGCTACATTAGTAAGAGTTAGCTACATTAGTAAGAGTTAGCTACATAGAAGAGTAGAGCTACATTAGTAAGAGTTAGCTACATTAGTAAGAGTTAGCTACATTAGTAAGAGTTAGCTACATTAGTAAGAGTTAGCTACATTAGTAAGAGTTAGCTACATTAGTAAGAGTTAGCTACATTAGTAAGAGTTAGCTACATTAGTAAGAGTTAGCTACATTAGTAAGAGTTAGCTACATTAGTAAGAGTTAGCTACATTAGTAAGAGTTAGCTACATTAGTAAGAGTTAGCTACATTAGTAAGAGTTAGCTACATTAGTAAGAGTTAGCTACATTAGTAAGAGTTAGCTACATTAGTAAGAGTTAGCTACATAGTAAGAGTTAGCTACATTAGTAAGAGTTAGCTACATTAGTAAGAGTTAGCTACATTAGTAAGAGTTAGCTACTACATTAGTAAGAGTTAGCTACATCAGTAAGAGTTAGCTACATTAGTAAGAGTTAGCTACATTAGTAAGAGTTAGCTACATTAGTAAGAGTTAGCCACATTAGTAAGAGTTAGCTACATTAGTAAGAGTTAGCTACATTAGTAAGAGTTAGCTACATTAGTAAGAGTTAGCTACATTAGTAAGAGTTAGCTACATTAGTAAGAGTTAGCTACATTAGTAAGAGTTAGCTACATTAGTAAGAGTTAGCTACATTAGCAAGAGTTAGCTACATTAGTAAGAGTTAGCTACATTAGTAAGAGTTAGCTACATTAGTAAGAGTTAGCTACATTAGTAAGAGTTAGCTACATTAGTAAGAGTTAGCTACATTAGTAAGAGTTAGCTACATTAGCAAGAGTTAGCTACATTAGTAAGAGTTAGCTACATTAGTAAGAGTTAGCTACATTAGTAAGAGTTAGCTACATTAGTAAGAGTTAGCCGCATAAGTTAGCCACATTAGCAAGAGTTAGCTACATTAGTAAGAGTTAGCTACATTAGTAAGAGTTAGCTACATTAGTAAGAGTTAGCCGCATAAGTTAGCCACATTAGCAAGAGTTAGCTACATTAGCAAGAGTTAGCTACATCAGTAAGAGTTAGCTACATTAGTAAGAGTTAGCTACATTAGTAAGAGTTAGCCGCATAAGTTAGCCACATTAGCAAGAGTTAGCTACATTAGTAAGAGTTAGCTACATTAGTAAGAGTTAGCTACATTAGTAAGAGTTAGCTACATTAGTAAGAGTTAGCTACATTAGTAAGAGTTAGCTACATTAGTAAGAGTTAGCTACATTAGCAAGAGTTAGCTACATTAGTAAGAGTTAGCTACATTAGTAAGAGTTAGCTACATTAGTAAGAGTTAGCTACATTAGTAAGAGTTAGCTACATTAGTAAGAGTTAGCTACATTAGTAAGAGTTAGCTACATTAGTAAGAGTTAGCTACATCAGTAAGAGTTAGCTACATTAGTAAGAGTTAGCTACATTAGTAAGAGTTAGCCGCATAAGTTAGCCACATTAGCAAGAGTTAGCTACATTAGTAAGAGTTAGCTACATTAGCAAGAGTTAGCTACATTAGTAAGAGTTAGCCGCATAAGTTAGCCACATTAGCAAGAGTTAGCTACATTAGCAAGAGTTAGCTACATCAGTAAGAGTTAGCCACATTAGCAAGAGTTAGCTACATTAGCAAGAGTTAGCTACATCAGTAAGAGTTAGCTACATTAGCAAGAGTTAGCTACATCAGTAAGAGTTAGCTACATCAGTAAGAGTTAGCTACATTAGTAAGAGTTAGCTACATTAGTAAGAGTTAGCTACATTAGTAAGAGTTAGCTACATTAGCAAGAGTTAGCCACATCAGTAAGAGTTAGCTACATTAGTAAGAGTTAGCTACATTAGTAAGAGTTAGCTACATTAGTAAGAGTTAGCTACATTAGTAAGAGTTAGCTACATTAGTAAGAGTTAGCTACATTAGTAAGAGTTAGCTACATTAGTAAGAGTTAGCTACATTAGTAAGAGTTAGCTACATCAGCAAGAGTTAGCTACATTAGTAAGAGTTAGCTACATTAGTAAGAGTTAGCTACATTAGCAAGAGTTAGCTACATTAGCAAGAGTTAGCTACATTAGTAAGAGTTAGCTACATTAGTAAGAGTTAGCTACATTAGTAAGAGTTAGCTACATTAGTAAGAGTTAGCTACATTAGTAAGAGTTAGCTACATTAGTAAGAGTTAGCTACATTAGTAAGAGTTAGCTACATTAGTAAGAGTTAGCTACATTAGTAAGAGTTAGCTACATTAGTAAGAGTTAGCTACATTAGTAAGAGTTAGCTACATTAGTAAGAGTTAGCTACATTAGTAAGAGTTAGCTACATTAGTAAGAGTTAGCTACATTAGTAAGAGTTAGCTACATTAGCAAGAGTTAGCTACATTAGTAAGAGTTAGCTACATTAGTAAGAGTTAGCTACATTAGTAAGAGTTAGCTACATTAGTAAGAGTTAGCTACATTAGTAAGAGTTAGCTACATTAGTAAGAGTTAGCTACATTAGTAAGAGTTAGCTACATTAGTAAGAGTTAGCTACATTAGTAAGAGTTAGCTACATTAGTAAGAGTTAGCTACATTAGTAAGAGTTAGCTACATTAGCAAGAGTTAGCTACATTAGTAAGAGTTAGCTACATTAGTAAGAGTTAGCTACATTAGTAAGAGTTAGCTACATCAGTAAGAGTTAGCTACATTAGTAAGAGTTAGCTACATCAGTAAGAGTTAGCTACATTAGTAAGAGTTAGCTACATTAGTAAGAGTTAGCTACATTAGTAAGAGTTAGCTACATTAGTAAGAGTTAGCTACATTAGTAAGAGTTAGCTACATTAGTAAGAGTTAGCTACATTAGTAAGAGTTAGCTACATTAGTAAGAGTTAGCTACATTAGTAAGAGTTAGCTACATTAGTAAGAGTTAGCTACATTAGTAAGAGTTAGCTACATTAGTAAGAGTTAGCTACATTAGTAAGAGTTAGCCACATCAGCAAGAGTTAGCTACATTAGTAAGAGTTAGCTACATTAGTAAGAGTTAGCTACATTAGTAAGAGTTAGCTACATCAGTAAGAGTTAGCTACATTAGTAAGAGTTAGCTACATTAGTAAGAGTTAGCTACATTAGTAAGAGTTAGCTACATTAGTAAGAGTTAGCTACATTAGTAAGAGTTAGCTACATTAGTAAGAGTTAGCTACATTAGTAAGAGTTAGCTACATTAGTAAGAGTTAGCTACATTAGTAAGAGTTAGCTACATTAGTAAGAGTTAGCTACATTAGTAAGAGTTAGCTACATCAGTAAGAGTTAGCTACATTAGCAAGAGTTAGCTACATTAGTAAGAGTTAGCTACATTAGTAAGAGTTAGCTACATTAGTAAGAGTTAGCTACATTAGTAAGAGTTAGCTACATTAGTAAGAGTTAGCTACATTAGTAAGAGTTAGCTACATTAGCATGAGTTAGCTACATTAGCATGAGTTTGCAAATTTGCAAAAGTTACCTCATTAGCATTAGACCAGTTATCCAAATTAGCAAGAGATGACATAAGTTAGCCACATTAGTTAGAGTAAGCAAAAGTTAGTCCCATTGACATCCCCCTCTGTCCCGGTGACTTTTCCACAAATGTGTGTCTGTGTGTGTCTGTTTGTGTCTGTTTGTGTCTGTTTGTGTCTGTTTGTGTCTGTTTGTGTCTGTTTGTGTCTGTTTGTGTCTGTTTGTGTCTGTTTGTGTCTGTTTGTGTCTGTTTGTGTCTGTTTGTGTCTGTTTGTGTCTGTTTGTGTCTGTTTGTGTCTGTTTGTGTCTGTTTGTGTCTGTTTGTGTCTGTTTGTGTCTGTTTGTGTCTGTTTGTGTCTGTTTGTGTCTGTTTGTGTCTGTTTGTGTCTGTTTGTGTCTGTGTGTGTCTGTGTGTGTCTGTGTGTGTCTGTGTGTGTCTGTTTGTGTCTGTTTGTGTCTGTTTGTGTCTGTTTGTGTCTGTTTGTGTGTTTGTATTGAATTCAAAATGGCTGCCTGTCCACAGCGGGCGACCGCAGCAGCGTGGGAAGCACTGCGAGCGTGGCGAGTACCCGCAGTGCAGGAAGTGGACAAAGCACAGAGGGGAATAGCGCCAACAACGGGTCCACTCAGAGCTGCGGCGTGACTCACCCTGACAAGGTACCACTCACCACGACAGGGTACCACTCACCGCGAGAGGGTACCACTCACCACAACAGGGTACCACTCACCACGACAGGGTACCACTCACTACAACAGGGTACCACTCACTACAACAGGGTACCACTCACTACGACAGGGTACCACTCACCACAACAGGGTACCACTCACCACAACAGGGCACCACTCACTACAAAAGGGTACCACTCACCACAACAGGGTACCACTCACTACAACAGGGTACCACTCACCACAACAGGGCACCACTCACTACGACAGGGTACCACTCACTACGACAGGGTACCACTCACCACAACAGGGCACCACTCACTACAAAAGGGTACCACTCACTACAACAGGGTACCACTCACTACAACAGGGTACCACTCACCACAACAGGGTACCACTCACTACAACAGGGTACCACTCACTACAACAGGGTACCACTCACCACAACAGGGTACCACTCACTACAACAGGGTACCACTCACTACAACAGGGTACCACTCACCACAACAGGGCACCACTCACTACAACAGGGTACCACTCACCACAACAGGGCACCACTCACCACAACAGGGCACCACTCACCACAACAGGGCACCACTCACTACAACAGGGTACCACTCACTACAACAGGGCACCACTCACCACAACAGGGTACCACTCACTACAACAGGGTACCACTCACTACAACAGGGTACCGCTCACCACGACAAGGTGAGTCTATGATTGTATTTTTACTACAATCATAGAGTGTGTGTCAGGAGCGAACCAAGTGTGACATCACAATCGTTTTTGCCTTAATAAGGAAGAACCCAATTTGAGCACAAGCTGGAGCAGGTTTTCTTATGTGGACATTTGTTCCTACAGTGTTAGCTTCGTGTCGTAACAGGAGGAGACGTGTTGCTAAGACGCATCCCCAATCCTTATTCCCCCGACCATTGTCCATGAGCACTTCCCTGTTGGGCTTTGAGCTAGCAGGTTAGCATTGTCCATCTGTATGCAACACCAAGACCAAGCCTGGACCAAAAGTAAAAGTCAGTTTATAATAACAAACCCTAGTGTTGTTACCGCATTGACAGAAGGTGTTCAATGTTTGTAATAAAACAACATGAATGCAGTTGTTTTCTCGAGATAATGACCTTTAAAATGATGTAGAACATGCCATGGCCGTCCACATACACCTCACTGTGTCAAGTCCCCCCTGCAGTACCCTCCGCGTTTTGCTAGCTGTCCGCATTCCCCCTGTTGAGAAACACTGGGTTGACCCTGTTGGACTGTAGGGGGCAGTGTTGGTTTGAAACAGCTTTACTCTGTGCAGGTGGTGCCCTCTGCTGGAGACAGTCAGCACGACTCCTCTGCAGGTAAATGTGATTTCGAGTTACATCTTTATTTATATTGCACATTTGACAGACCGCAAAGTGATATAAAGTGTTTTTGAAATATGAATGTTTCTAAATGTGTCCCTCTCCACTCTGTCAGGGTTCCTGGTTTAATGAGCCTTTAGGAACCACAAACGTCTGGTGTTTTATGAGCGCAGTGCTGTTTGGTCGATATGATACTGTAGTCCCAGGGGGCGGGGTCACAGCGGATTATAACAGATGTTCTCTACATGTCTCTTCAGGCACAGATGTGGTCTCCTTGGGCCCGGGGGTGGGTCCAGCAGTGGGGGCGGTGGGTCCCCCGGTCTCCATGGGAACGCCCCGACGCCACACGGTCACGGTCCAGTCCAGAACCGAGCCACTCACACAGCAGTTTGTTCGGCCACAGCAGCTCCTCGACGGAAAGGTCTGCCCCTGCCCTACCCTGCCCTACCCTACCCTACCCTGCCCTACCCTACCCTGCCCTACCCTACCCTGCCCTGCCCTACCCTACCCTGCCCTGCCCTACCCTACCCTGCCCTGCCCTACTCTACTCTACTCTACTCTGCCCTGCCCTACCCTACCCTGCCCTGCCCTGCCCTACCCTACCCTGCCCTGCCCTGCCCTACCCTATCCTACCCTACCCTGCCCTACCCTACCCTACCCTACCCTACCCTACCCTGCCCTACCCTGCCCTACCCTACCCTACCCTGCCCTGCCCTGCCCTGCCCTACTCTACTCTACTCTACTCTACTCTACTCTGCCCTGCCCTACCCTACCCTACCCTGCCCTGCCCTACCCTACCCTGCCCTACCCTACCCTACCCTGCCCTGCCCTACCCTACCCTGCCCTGTCCTATCCTATCCTGCCCTGCCCCTGCCCTGCCCTACTCTACTCTACTCTACTCTACTCTACTCTACTCTACTCTACTCTACTCTACTCTACTCTACTCTACTCTACTCTACTCTACTCTACTCTACTCTACTCTACTCTACTCTACTACTACTCTACTCTACTCTACTCTACTCTACTCTACTCTACTCTACTCTACTCTAACCTGCCCTGCCCTGCCCTACCCTACCCTACTCTACTCTACTCTACCCTGCCCTGCCCTGCCCTGCCCTGCCCCTACCCTACCCTACCCTACCCTACCCTGCCCTGCCCTACTCTACTCTACTCTACTCTACTCTACTCTACGCTACTCTACTCTACTCTACTCTACTCTACTCTACTCTACTCTACTCTACTCTACTCTACTCTACTCTACTCTACTCTACTCTACTCTACTCTACTCTACCCTGCCCTGCCCTGCCCTGCCCTACCCTACCCTACCCTACCCTACCCTACCTCTACTCTACTCTACTCTACTCTACTCTACTCTACTCTACTCTACTCTACTCTAACCTGCCCTAATCTACTCTACCCTGCCCTACCCTACCCTACCCTACCCTGCCCTGCCCTGCCCTGCCCTGCCCTACTCTACTCTACTCTACTCTACTCTACTCTACTCTACTCTACTCTACTCTACTCTACTCTACTCTACTCTACTCTACTCTACTCTACTCTACTCTACTCTGCTCTGCTCTGCTCTGCTCTGCTCTGCTCTGCTCTGCCCTGCCCTGCCCTGCCCTGCCCTACTCTACTCTACTCTACTCTACTCTACTCTACTCTACTCTACTCTACTCTACTCTACTCTACTCTACTCTACTCTACTCTACTCTACTCTACTCTACTCTACTCTACTCTAACCTGCCCTGCCCTACCCTACCCTACCCTACTCTACTCTACTCTACTCTAACCTGCCCTAATCTACCCTAATCTACCCTACTCTACTACTCGACTCGACTCAACTTCGTTTCCATTACGCTTTAGCACCTGGTACCATATCCTAGCAACCTACCCACAGCAAAATAGTATTCGGGGAAATTCTTTGGTAACCATGGCTTCCAACAGCGCTCTGTCCAATCACTGTGAGTTAGAACACTTTGGTACCAGTTGGTCTTGATGTCACACACAGACAGAGTGTGACATCACAGTGCTAGCCTTAAACGCGGAAGAAGCTCATTTGAACACAAGCTAGCTGGAGATAATTTTCTTATATGGGAATTTGTTGCCACGGGGTTCGCTACGCGCCACAAACTGACGTGTTGCTAACTAGGTTGACGTTGTCCTGAAATGTTTGTGGGCGTGTCTTGATATTGTTGTGGGCGTGTCTTGATATATTTTTGGGCGTGTCCCAGGATGCAGAGGCCATCTTCCAGTGGCTCAGTGACTTCCAGCTCGAGCAGTACACTCCCAACTTCCTGAACAACGGTTACGACGTGCCGACGATCAGCCGCATGACGCCAGAGGTCTGCACTTTCCAAATCTGATTTGTCTCTTTTTACTCATGAAAACTCTTAATAAACTCATTCTCTGTTTCTGGCTCTTAAATAGTTAAAAAGTTAAAAGTTAAAAAGAGAAGTCAAATAATGACTCACAGGGCTTACATTAAAGATAACATGTTTTCTATTGAGCTGAAGACAGCATGTTGTGGTCTGAGTTTGACTCTGTCTGACAGATATGATATAAATCTATAAGTTACGTAGCCCAGCTTTAAGCTTCGGTCGCCAGATAATCGTTCCTTCTGCTGCGGTCAGGACCTGACGGCCATCGGAGTGACCAAACCTGGACATCGGAAGAAGATATCTCTGGAGATCACCAACCTGAATATCCCAGAGTGGCTCCCGGATTATATACCAGTGAGGCTCTACTACTATCACAGTAGTACTGCAGTAGTACTGCAATAATACGGCAGTATTACCTCAGTACTACTATATTACTACTGCAGTATTATTATCACGGTACCACTGCAGTACTACTGAGGTAATACCTGTTCTACCTCAGAAAGTGTTACAGTAATTACAGTTTAGCAGTGGCTCAGCGTGCAGTAGTAATAGTAGTATTTGTACTTTCAGAGTGACCTGGGGGAGTGGCTCAGTACTATAGGATTACTGCAGTACCAGAGGATGCTCTGTGAGAACGGTTACGACTCGATGGAGATCGTCAAAGACCTGAGCTGGGAGGACCTGCAGGAGACCGGCATCAGCAAACTGGGTCAGTACTGCATACAAATACTACAGAGTACTATGTACAAGTACTGCATAATGCATATCTATAATACTAGTACACAGCAGTACTGCAGGACTGCAGTATTCATGTACCATTCTTCTTCTGGTGCAGGTCACCAGAAGAAGCTGATGTTGGCGGTGAGGCGTGTGTGCGAGCTGCACAGGGCCGTGCAGGGGGGGGGCACCCTGAGGAGACGGGCCCCTCCCCCCCCATCTGAGGACCCCATGAGCAGCCAGGTACACCCTCTGCTGGACACTCTGTATAATGAAGTCTCGTTCCTCTTCTGTATGATAAACTTCTGTCCCATTCCTCCTCAGGATGGGGAGCTCTCTTCGGAGCTGTCTTGTGCAGCTCTTCGCCCCGGCGAGGCACTGAGCCTCAGTCTAAGTTTGTCGCACAGCGACGACAGTTTGGGACGCTCCCGAGGGTCGGGTCGCTCTCAGGACACGCCCCTGTCCCCGCCTCTGGCCACACCCCCTGACACGCCACAGGACACGGCCGAGATCAGAGACCCGACTCGACCCAAACACGTGCCTCAGGGCACGGCCACAGTCTTCAAGTACCCCAGCGTCCCGCCCAAGCCACGGCTGTCCCCGCGGGGCCTCTCCCTCCTGAAGCAGCCGCACGTATCCCGCGGCTCTCTGTCAGACGGCGAACAGGGAGAAGACGAGGACGAGGCGGCGCTGCCTCCATCCTACGCCACCGTGCGCCGCTCGCACCGAGGCGCGGCGGGCTCCGAGCTCGAGCGCGTGGGGAGGAGTCAGTCCTTCGCTGTCAGAGCGCGCAGGAAAGGCCCGCCCCCTCCTCCGCCCAAACGCCTCAGCTCCGTCAGTTCCCCGAGTGACGACCAGAGCGACAGCAGCATGAGTGACAGCAGCCCGGGGCGCGTGCGTAGCCTCAGCACGTCCCTCAACACGACCCTAAACACGACCCTCAATACGACCCTGCAGAGGCCGGCAGAGAGCGCACCGCAGGTAACTACACACACCAGCAGAGGGCGCACCGCAGGTAACTACACACACCAGCAGAGGGCGCACCGCAGGTAACTACACACACCAGCAGAGAGCGCACCGCAGGTAACTACACACACCAGCAGAGGGCGCACCGCAGGTAACTACACACACCAGCAGAGGGCGCACCGCAGGTAACTACACACACCAGCAGAGGGCGCACCGCAGGTAACTACACACACCAGCAGAGGGCGCACCGCAGGTAACTACACACACCAGCAGAGGGCGCACGCGCAGGTAACTACACACACCAGCAGAGGGCGCACCGCAGGTAACTACACACACCAGCAGAGGGCGCACCGCAGGTAACTACACACACCAGCAGAGGGCGCACCGCAGGTAACTACACACACCAGCAGAGGGCGCACCGCAGGTAACTACACACACCAGCAGAGGGCGCACCGCAGGTAACTACACACACCAGCAGAGAGCGCACCGCAGGTAACTACACACACCAGCAGAGGGCGCACCGCAGGTAACTACACACACCAGCAGAGGGCGCACCGCAGGTAACTACACACACCAGCAGAGAGCGCACCGCAGGTAACTACACACACCAGCAGAGAGCGCACCGCAGGTAACTACACACACCAGCAGAGGGCGCACGCCAGGTAACTACACACACCAGCAGAGAGCGCACCGCAGGTAACTACACACCACAGAGGCGCACCGCAGTAACACACACAGCAGAGGGCGCACCGCAGGTAACTACACACACCAGCAGCGCACGCAGGTAACTACACACACCAGCAGAGGGCGCACCGCAGGTAACTACACACACCAGCAGAGGGCGCACCGCAGGTAACTACACACACACAGCGCACCGCAGGTAACTACACACACCAGCAAGGGCGCACCGCAGGTAACTACACACACACACACCAGCAGAGGGCGCACCGCAGGTAACTACACACACCAGCAGAGGGCGCACCGCAGGTAACTACACACACCAGCAGAGGGCGCACCGCAGGTAACTACACACACCAGCAGAGGGCGCACCGCAGGTAACTACACACACCAGCAGAGGGCGCACCGCAGGTAACTACACACACACACAGCAGAGGGCGCACCGCAGGTAACTACACACACCAGCAGAGGGCGCACCGCAGGTAACTACACACACCAGCAGAGGGCGCACCGCAGGTAACTACACACACCAGCAGAGGGCGCACCGCAGTAACTACACACACCAGCAGGCGCACCGCAGGTAAACTACACACACCAGCAGAGGGCGCACCGCAGGTAACTACACACACCAGCAGAGGGCGCACCGCAGGTAACTACACACACCAGCAGAGAGCGCACCGCAGGTAACTCACACACAGCAGAGGGCGCACCGCAGGTAACTACACACACCAGCAGCAGGGCGCACCGCAGGTAACTACACACACCAGCAGAGGGCGCACCGCAGGTAACTACACACACCAGCAGAGGGCGCACCGCAGGTAACTACACACACACAGGCGCACCGCAGGTAACTACACACACCAGCAGAGGGCGCACCGCAGGTAACTACACACACCAGCAGAGGGCGCACCGCAGGTAACTACACACACCAGCAGAGGGCGCACCGCAGGTAACTACACACACCAGCAGAGGGCGCACCGCAGGTAACTACACACACCAGCAGAGGGCGCACCGCAGGTAACTACACACACCAGCAGAGGGCGCACCGCAGGTAACTACACACACAGCGCAGCAGAGCAGAGGGCGCACCGCAGGTAACTACACACACCAGCAGAGGGCGCACCGCAGGTAACTACACACACCAGCAGAGGGCGCACCGCAGGTAACTACACACACCAGCAGAGCGCACCGCAGGTAACTCAAGCGGGCACCGCAGGTAACTACACACACCAGCAGAGGGCGCACCGCAGGTAACTACACACACCAGCAGAGGGCGCACCGCAGGTAACTACACACACCAGCAGAGAGCGCACCGCAGGTAACTACACACACCAGCAGAGGGCGCACCCGCAGGTAACTACACACACCAGCAGAGGGCGCACCGCAGGTAACTACACACACCAGCAGAGGGCGCACCGCAGGTAACTACACACACCAGCAGAGGGCGCACCGCAGGTAACTACACACACCAGCAGAGGGGCGCACCGCACCGGTAACTACACACACCAGCAGAGGGCGCACCGCAGGTAACTACACACACCAGCAGAGGGCGCACCGCAGGTAACTACACATACCAGCAGAGGGCGCACCGCAGGTAACTACACACACCAGCAGAGGGCGCACCGCAGGTAACTACACACACCAGCAGAGGGCGCACCGCAGGTAACTACACATACCAGCAGAGGGCGGAAACATACTTGAATTGAAACTCTTTTAAACCATAACTCATAACGTTTTTCTACATTGAGGCCAGGTTTTGGGACTCGTCCATATTTAATCATTCTATAGGTAAACTCTAAGGAGTCCCTCAGGGCTCCATCCTCGGCCCCGTGAACTTCAGTCTTGATCCATGATCCAAATAACAGAAAAGCATAAGTCGTCTGTGGCCAATACAATTTTTGGCGTATATAACTAAATTTTAAGAATGACTTGTTCTTAGACCTGACAATTCATTGGCCGTTTCCTGTGCTTCTGTCCAATCACAGGAGAGCGCATTGGGCGGGACGTCCCAGAGCAGCTCCAGTGAGTGCATCCCCTTCGCAGAGGAAGGGAATCTGACCATCAAACAACGGCCTAAAGCCCCACCGCCCCCAAGGGCTGAGGAGGTGCTGCAGCTGAACCAGGACCAAAGCAGAGGCCAGAGGGACCAGAGAGACCAGAGAGACCAGAGGGACCAGAGAGACCAGAGGGACCAGAGAGACCAGAGGGACCAGAGGGACCAGAGAGACCAGAGGGACCAGACGGACCAGAGAGACCAGAGAGACCAGAGGGACCAGAGGGACCAGAGGGACCAGAGGGACCAGAGGGACCAGAGGGACCAGAGGGACCAGAGGGACCAGAGAGGCCAGAGGGACCAGAGAGACCAGAGAGACCAGAGAGACCAGAGAGACCAGAGGGACCAGAGGGACCAGAGGGACCAGAGGGACCAGAAGGACCAATCTAGGGACCAAACCCCAGAGTTTAACCTGAAGGAGTCTGACACTGTGAAACGCCGAAAACCTAAAGAGCAGGGTGAGGGGTCTCCCAGCCGCGAGGTCCCAGAGGAGGGGTCCGAGAGCTGGACGTCAAGTCAAGAGGAGCTCCGGGCTATCGCCTTCAGACCAGCCCACTCCCCTGGGTCTCCTCTCAGACCAACCCTGGACCGACCCTCCTCCCCTGGGTCTCCTCTCAGACCAACCCTGGACCGACCCTCCTCCCCTGGGTCTCCTCTCAGACCAACCCTGGACCGACCCTCCTCCCCTGGGTCTCCTCTCAGATTCGACCCCCTCTTCAGACCAGGCTCTTTGGGGCTGCTTCACAGACCTGGCACCCCTGGCTTGCCTCTCCACAGACCTGGCTCCCCAGGCTTGCCTCTCCACAGACCTGGCTCCCCTGGCTTGCCTCTCCACAGACCTGGCTCTCCTGGCTTGCCTCTCCACAGACCTGGCTCCCCAGGCTTGCCTCTCCACAGACCTGGCTCCCCTGGCTTGCCTCTCCACAGACCTGGCGCCCCTGGCTTGCCTCTCCACAGACCTGGCTCCCCTGGCTCGCCTCTCCACAGACCTGGCTCTCCTGGCTCGCCTCTCCACAGACCTGGCTCTCCTGGCTCGCCTCTCCACAGACCTGCTCTCTCGCCGAAACCAGTGGTGGCCCCTAAACCTCTGCGCCAGTGTCTGCTGAGTGACGGTCAGTCCAACAGACTTAGATCCATGTTCTCCTCTTTCTGCTTCATCTTGGGCAAGTTTATTTGTATAGCAACAGGTTAAAGACAAAGCAAATCAAAGTGCTTAAAGAGTGACTAAACACCTGTGCCCAGCCTGACTCCGCCCACATGAACATTTGAAAGTTTTCTCTAAAAAGGGCGTTGCCTGGACGACCAAGAGATGAGAAGGAGGGCTTAGAGTTGGGCGTGGTCTGGGCTGTGATTGACAGGTCACTAGTCACGCAAAAAAAACAGACGGTTGTCATTGCTGTTTAAAGCAATAGTTTACACCAGAAAGTGTCATTCCACCCTTGTTTACACACTAAATCATTGTAAAGCTACACACCTGAACCTAAGACACACAATAAACTCAGCAGCAATGGCTTCAACTCATGCAATTAAATTTTAATCCACTAGATGTCGCCAGAATACTCCAACCTGCTGCTGGGGCGTGTGTGAGGGTTGGATGGTTTTATATCACTGGGTCAGACAGACGTCACACACACCAACTGACATCACACACACCAACTGACGTCACACACACCAACTGACGTCACACACACCAACTGACGTCACACACACCAACTGAGGTCACACACACCAACTGACGTCACACACACCAACTGACGTCACACACACCAACTGACGTCACACACACCAACTGACGTCACACACACCAACTGACGTCACACACACCAACTGACGTCACACACACCAACTGACGTCACACACACCAACTGACGTCACACACACCAACTGACGTCACACACACCAACTGACGTCACACACACCAACTGACGTCACACACACCAACTGACGTCACACACACCAACTGACGTCACACACACCAACTGACATCACACACACCAACTGACATCACACACACCAACTGACGTCACACACACCAACTGACGTCACACACACCAACTGACGTCACACACACCAACTGACATCACACACACCAACTGACGTCACACACACCAACTGACATCACACACACCAACTGACATCACACACACCAACTGACGTCACACACACCAACTGACGTCACACACACCAACTGACGTCACACACACCAACTGACGTCACACACACCAACTGACGTCACACACACCAACTGACTCACACACACTGACGTCACACACACCAACTGACGTCACACACACCAACTGACGTCACACACACACCAACTGACGTCACACACACCAACTGACATCACACACACCAACTGACGTCACACACACCAACTGACGTCACACACACCAACTGACGTCACACACACCAACTGACGTCACACACACCAACTGACGTCACACACACCAACTGACGTCACACACACCAACTGACGTCACACACACCAACTGACGTCACACACACCAACTGACGTCTCACACACCAACTGACATCACACACACCAACTGACGTCTCACACGCCAACTGACATCACACGCGCCAACTGACGTCACACGCGCCAACTGACGTCACACGCACCAACTGACGTCACACACACCAACTGACGTCACACACACCAACTGACATCACACACACCAACTGACATCACACACACACCAACTGACGTCACACACACCAACTGACGTCACACACACCAACTGACGTCACACACACCAACTGACATCACACCAACTGACCACACACACCAACTGACGTCACACACACCAACTGACGTCACACACACCAACTGACGTCACACACACCAACTGACGTCACACACACCAACTGACGTCACACACACCAACTGACGTCACACACACCAACTGACGTCACACACACCAACTGACGTCACACACACCAACTGACGTCACACACACCAACTGACGTCACACACACCAACTGACATCACACACACCAACTGACATCACACACACCAACTGACGTCACACACACCAACTGACGTCACACACACCAACTGACGTCACACACACCAACTGACATCACACACACCAACTGACGTCACACACACCAACTGACGTCACACACACCAACTGACGTCACACACACCAACTGACGTCACACACACCAACTGACATCACACACACCAACTGACGTCACACACACCAACTGACGTCACACACACCAACTGACGTCACACACACCAACTGACGTCTCACACACCAACTGACGTCACACACACCAACTGACGTCACACACACCAACTGACGTCACACACACCAACTGACGTCACACACACCAACTGACGTCACACACACCAACTGACGTCACACACACCAACTGACGTCACACACACCAACTGACTCACACACACCAACTGACTCACACACACCAACTGACATCACACACACCAACTGACGTCACACACAACTGACTCACACACACCAACTGACGTCACACACACCAACTGACGTCACACACACCAACTGACATCACACACACCAACTGACGTCACACACACCAACTGACGTCACACACACCAACTGACGTCACACACACCAACTGACGTCACACACACACCAACTGACGTCACACACACCAACTGACATCACACACACCAACTGACGTCACACACACCAACTGACGTCACACACACACCAACTGACGTCACACACACCAACTGACGTCACACACACCAACTGACGTCACACACACCAACTGACGTCACACACACCAACTGACGTCACACACACCAACTGACGTCTCACACACCAACTGACATCACACACACCAACTGACGTCTCACACGCCAACTGACATCACACACGCCAACTGACGTCACACGCGCCAACTGACGTCACACACACCAACTGACGTCACACACACCAACTGACGTCACACACACCAACTGAGGTCACACACACCAACTGACGTCACACGCACCAACTGACGTCACACGCACCAACTGACGTCACACACACCAACTGACGTCACACGCACCAACTGACGTCACACGCACCAACTGACGTCACACACACCAACTGACGTCACACGCGCCAACTGACGTCACACGCACCAACTGACGTCACACGCACCAACTGACGTCACACACACACCAACTGACGTCACACGCACCAACTGACGTCACACGCACCAACTGACGTCACACGCACCAACTGACGTCACACGCACCAACTGACATCACACACACCAACTGACGTCAGACACACCAACTGACATCACACACACCAACTGACGTCACACACACCAACTGACGTCACACACACCAACTGACGTCACACACACCAACTGACGTCACACACACCAACTGACGTCACACGCACCAACTGACGTCACACACACACACCAACTGACGTCACACACACACACCAACTGACGTCACAGACACCAACTGACATCACACACACCAACTGACGTCACGCACCAACTGACGTCACACACCAACTGACGTCACACACCAACTGACGTCACACACACCAACTGACGTCACACACACCAACTGACATCACACACACCAACTGACGTCACGCACCAACTGACGTCACACACCAACTGACTGTCACACACACTGACGTCAACACACACCAACTGACGTCACACACACCAACTGACGTCACACACCAACTGACGTCACGCACCAACTGACGTCACACACACCAACTGTCACACACCAACACACACACCAACTGACGTCACGCACCAACTGACGTCACACACACCAACTGACCACACACACCAACTGACGTCACGCACCAACTGACGTCACACACACCAACTGACGTCACGCACCAACTGACGTCACACACACACACCAACTGACGTCACACACACCAACTGACGTCACAGACACCAACTGACATCACACACACCAACTGACGTCACGCACCAACTGACGTCACACACACCAACTGACGTCACGCACACCAACTGACATCACACACACCAACTGACGTCACGCACCAACTGATGTCACACACACCAACTGACGTCACACACCAACTGACGTCACACACACCAACTGACGTCACCGCCACACCAACTGACGTCACACACCAACTGACGTCACACACACACCAACTGACGTCACACACCAACTGACGTCACACACACCAACTGACGTCACACACACCAACTGACGTCACACACCAACTGACGTCACACACACACCAACTGACGTCACACACACCAACTGATGTCACACCACCAACTGACATCACACACACCAACTGACGTCACGCACCAACTGACGTCACACACACACCAACTGACGTCACACACACCAACTGACGTCACACACCAACTGACGTCACCACACACCAACTGACGTCACACACACCAACTGACGTCACACACACCAACTGATGTCACACGCACCAACTGACCTCACACACACACCAACTGACGTCACACACACCAACTGACGTCACACACACCAACTGACGTCACACACACCAACTGACCTCACACACACACACCAACTGACGTCACACACACCAACTGACGTCACACACCAACTGACGTCACACACCAACTGACGTCACACACACACCAACTGACGTCACACACACCAACTGACGTCACACACACCAACTGACGTCACGCACCAACTGACGTCACACACACCAACTGACGTCACACACACCAACTGACGTCACACACACCAACTGAGGTCACACACACCAACTGACGTCACGCACACACACCAACTGACGTCACACACACCAACTGACGTCACACGCACCAACTGACGTCACACACACCAACTGACGTCACACACCAACTGACGTACACACACGCACCAACTGACGTCACACACACCAACTGACGTCACACGCACCAACTGACGTCACACACACACCAACTGACGTCACACGCACCAACTGACGTCACACGCACCAACTGACGTCACACGCACCAACTGACGTCACACACACCAACTGACATCACACACACCAACTGACGTCAGACACACCAACTGACATCACGCACACCAACTGACGTCACACACACCAACTGACGTCACACACACCAACTGACGTCACACACACCAACTGACGTCACACACACCAACTGACGTCACACGCACCAACTGACGTCACACACACACACCAACTGACGTCACACACACACACCAACTGACGTCACAGACACCAACTGACATCACACACACCAACTGACGTCACGCACCAACTGACGTCACACACCAACTGACGTCACACACCAACTGACGTCACACACACCAACTGACGTCACACACACCAACTGACATCACACACACCAACTGACGTCACGCACCAACTGACGTCACACACCAACTGACGTGTCACACACCAACTGACGTCACACACACCAACTGACATCACACACACCAACTGACGTCACGCACCAACTGACGTCACACACCAACTGACGTGTCACACACCAACTGACGTCACACACACCAACTGACGTCACGCACCAACTGACGTCACACACACCAACTGACATCACACACACCAACTGACGTCACGCACCAACTGACGTCACACACACCAACTGACGTCACGCACCAACTGACGTCACACACACACACCAACTGACGTCACACACACACACCAACTGACGTCACAGACACCAACTGACATCACACACACCAACTGACGTCACGCACCAACTGACGTCACACACACCAACTGACGTCACGCACACCAACTGACATCACACACACCAACTGACGTCACGCACCAACTGATGTCACACACACCAACTGACGTCACACACCAACTGACGTCACACACACCAACTGACGTCACGCACCAACTGACGTCACACACACCAACTGACGTCACACACGCACCAACTGACGTCACACACACACCAACTGACGTCACACACACACACCAACTGACGTCACAGACACCAACTGACATCACGCACACCAACTGACGTCACGCACCAACTGACGTCACACACACCAACTGACGTCACACACACCAACTGACGTCACACACACCAACTGACATCACACACACCAACTGACGTCACACACCAACTGACGTCACACACCAACTGACGTCACACACACCAACTGACGTCACACACACCAACTGACATCACACACACCAACTGACGTCACGCACCAACTGACGTCACACACACCAACTGACGTCACACACACCAACTGACATCACACACACCAACTGACGTCACGCACCAACTGACGTCACACACACACACCAACTGACGTCACACACCAACTGACGTCACACACACACACCAACTGACGTCACACACCAACTGACGTCACACACACCAACTGACGTCACACACACCAACTGACGTCACACACCAACTGACGTCACACACACACACCAACTGACGTCACACACACCAACTGATGTCACACGCACCAACTGACATCACACACACCAACTGACGTCACGCACCAACTGACGTCACACACCAACTGACGTCACACACACCAACTGACGTCACACACCAACTGACGTCACACACCAACTGACGTCACACACACACACCAACTGACGTCACACACACCAACTGATGTCACACGCACCAACTGACCTCACACACACACACCAACTGACGTCACACACACCAACTGACGTCACACACACCAACTGACCTCACACACACCAACTGACCTCACACACGCACACCAACTGACATCACACACACCAACTGACGTCACACACCAACTGACGTCACACACCAACTGACGTCACACACACCAACTGACGTCACACACACCAACTGACATCACACACACCAACTGACGTCACGCACCAACTGACGTCACACACGCCAACTGACGTGTCACACACCAACTGACGTCACACACACCAACTGACGTCACACACACCAACTGACGTCACGCACCAACTGACGTCACACACCAACTGACGTGTCACACACCAACTGACGTGTCACACACCAACTGACGTCACACACACCAACTGACGTCACACACCAACTGACGTCACACACCAACTGACGTCACACACACCAACTGACGTCACACACACCAACTGACGTCACACACACCAACTGACGTCACACACACCAACTGACGTCACACACACCAACTGACATCACACACACCAACTGACGTCACGCACCAACTGACGTCACACACCAACTGACATCACACACACCAACTGACGTCACGCACCAACTGACGTCACACACACCAACTGACGTCACGCACCAACTGACGTCACACACACACACCAACTGACGTCACACACACACACCAACTGACGTCACACACACACACCAACTGACGTCACAGACACCAACTGACATCACACACACCAACTGACGTCACGCACCAACTGACGTCACGCACACCAACTGACGTCACGCACACCAACTGACATCACACACACCAACTGACGTCACGCACCAACTGATGTCACACACACCAACTGACGTCACACACCAACTGACGTCACACACACCAACTGACGTCACGCACCAACTGACGTCACACACACCAACTGACGTCACACACGCACCAACTGACGTCACACTCACACACACACACCAACTGACGTCACAGACACCAACTGACATCACGCACACCAACTGACGTCACGCACCAACTGACGTCACACACACCAACTGACGTCACACACACCAACTGACGTCACGCACACCAACTGACGTCACGCACACCAACTGACATCACACACACCAACTGACGTCACACACCAACTGACGTCACACACCAACTGACGTCACACACACCAACTGACGTCACACACACCAACTGACGTCACACACACCAACTGACGTCACACACACCAACTGACATCACACACACCAACTGACGTCACGCACCAACTGACGTCACACACCAACTGACGTCACACACACCAACTGACATCACACACACCAACTGACGTCACGCACCAACTGACGTCACACACCAACTGACGTCACACACACCAACTGACGTCACACACACCAACTGACGTCACACACCAACTGACGTCACACACACACACAAACTGACGTCACACACACCAACTGATGTCACACGCACCAACTGACATCACACACACCAACTGACCTCACGCACCAACTGACGTCACACACCAACTGACGTCACACACACCAACTGACGTCACACACACCAACTGACGTCACACACACACACCAACTGACGTCACACACACCAACTGATGTCACACGCACCAACTGACGTCACACACACCAACTGACGTCACACACACACACCAACTGACGTCACACACACCAACTGACCTCACACACACCAACTGACCTCACACACGCACACCAACTGACATCACACACACCAACTGACGTCACACACCAACTGACGTCACACACACCAACTGACGTCACACACCAACTGACGTCACACACCAACTGACGTCACACACACCAACTGACGTCACACACACCAACTGACGTCACACACACCAACTGACGTCACACACACCAACTGACATCACACACACCAACTGACGTCACGCACCAACTGACGTCACACACCAACTGACATCACACACACCAACTGACGTCACGCACCAACTGACGTCACACACACCAACTGACGTCACGCACCAACTGACGTCACACACACACACCAACTGACGTCACACACACACACCAACTGACGTCACAGACACCAACTGACATCACACACACCAACTGACGTCACGCACCAACTGACGTCACACACACCAACTGACGTCACGCACACCAACTGACATCACACACACCAACTGACGTCACGCACCAACTGATGTCACACACACCAACTGACGTCACACACCAACTGACGTCACACACACCAACTGACGTCACGCACCAACTGACGTCACACACACCAACTGACGTCACACACGCACCAACTGACGTCACACACACACCAACTGACGTCACAGACACCAACTGACATCACGCACACCAACTGACGTCACGCACCAACTGACGTCACACACACCAACTGACGTCACACACACCAACTGACGTCACGCACACCAACTGACATCACACACACCAACTGACGTCACACACCAACTGACGTCACACACCAACTGACGTCACACACACCAACTGACGTCACACACACCAACTGACGTCACACACACCAACTGACGTCACACACACCAACTGACATCACACACACCAACTGACGTCACGCACCAACTGACGTCACACACCAACTGACGTCACACACACCAACTGACATCACACACACCAACTGACGTCACGCACCAACTGACGTCACACACCAACTGACGTCACACACACCAACTGACGTCACACACACCAACTGACGTCACACACCAACTGACGTCACACACACACACAAACTGACGTCACACACACCAACTGATGTCACACGCACCAACTGACATCACACACACCAACTGACCTCACGCACCAACTGACGTCACACACCAACTGACGTCACACACACCAACTGACGTCACACACACCAACTGACGTCACACACCAACTGACGTCACACACACACACCAACTGACGTCACACACACCAACTGATGTCACACGCACCAACTGACGTCACACACACCAACTGACGTCACACACACACACCAACTGACGTCACACACACCAACTGACGTCACACACCAACTGACGTCACACAGTATTACAGAGACCAGGACAACATTTAGTATGTAGTAGTACATACTAAATAGTGTAGTATGTAGTACCACCAAAAAGAGGGCGCCACAGACGTTTTTAGGCTCAAAAGTGAGATTTTATCTAATTTGCACATACATGTATGTAATATGTAGAGAGCACTACAATAAACATATTTATGCAGTTTAAAGTGTCAGTCCAAATGCCTCGTCCATATTTGATCATTCTTTAGTTAAACTCACACTGGGGTCCCTCAGGGCTCCATCCTTGGCCCTGTGAACTCCACTCTGATGATATCTTCCTGATGTAGTAGTAGTAGTACCGGGGGTGGCCTCTAGTCCTTGCAGAGGCGCTAACCCAAACGTATGGCTCTTATTCTAACTGAAGGCACTAAACGCCGCTCTCTCTCCTCAGGCTCCGGTCGCTCCTCTCCTGGGTTCTCCATCTCCGTCATCCAGAGCGTGGCCTTCTCCTCGCCGCCCTCCTCCCGCTGCCTAAGCCCTGCCCTCAGCCCCTCCCGCTGCCTAAGCCCTGCCCTCAGCCCCTCCCGCTGCCTAAGCCCCGCCCTCAGCCCCTCCCGCTGCCTGAGCCCCTCCCGCGGTCACATGACCTCCCCGCGGCCCCCGGAGTGTGAGGTGCAGCTCAGGTTGGATCAGACCAGTGTGAGTTTAGAGGCCGCTCTTCAGGACGCAGAGAGGAGCCTGGATCACAGCACAGGGTGAGTGAATGCTACTGCTACTGCTACTTCTGCTACTGCTACTACTGCTACTACTGCTGCTGCTACTTCTGCTACTGCTACTACTGCTGCTGCTACTTCTGCTACTGCTACTACTGCTGCTGCTACTGCTGCTGCTGCTACTACTTCTGCTACTGCTACTGCTGCTACTGCTGCTACTTCTGATACTGATGCTACTGTTACTGCTGCTGCTACTGCTGCTCCTATTGCTGCTGCTACTGTTGATACTTCTATTGCTACTGCCACTGCTGCTGGTGTCGTCTGTGATTGGCCAGAGCTGACCAATACAAACTTTATTCTTTCATTTTTCCCGCAGTTCGGTGAAATGTGCCGGGACGATTCTGGACGACATCGGCTCCATGTTCGACGACCTCGCGGATCAGCTGGACGCCATGTTGGAATGATCATCACGCCCCCTACAGGACACTGCTGTCATTACAGTAGTCCCTGGTTTATCACCGGTGTTATCATGAGTTCTAAACATCAGCCTGAAAAAGATAAATCCTCTCGGTCGCAGCTGAATGTGTTAAGACTGTGAAACCCCCACACCCACCTACGTCTGCGGAAGAGAGAGACCAGAGAGAGACCAGAGAGAGACCAGAGAGAGAGACCAGAGAGAGACCCGAGAGAGACCCGAGAGAGACCCGAGAGAGAGACCCGAGAGAGACCCGAGAGAGACCCGAGAGAGACCCGAGAGAGACCCGAGAGAGACCCGAGAGAGACCCGAGAGAGACCCGAGAGAGACCCGAGAGAGACCAGACCTGGCCGCTGTAGTCCTCTGAAGTTATCACTGCGGTGCAAACATGTCACAAAAGTACTCTCTCTCTCTGGTCCCTCTCTGATATCCACAGGACACAGATGTCACTGCGCTGCCCCTACAGGACACAGATGTCACTGCGCTGCCCCTACAGGACACAGATGTCACTGCGCTGCCCCTACAGGACACAGATGTCACTGCGCTGCCCCTACAGGACACAGATGTCACTGCGCTGCCCTTACAGGACACAGATGTTACTGCGCTGCCCCTACAGGCACACAGATGTCACTGCGCTGCCCCTACAGGACACACAGATGTTACTGCGCTGCCCCTACAGGCACACAGATGTCACTGCGCTGCCCCTACAGGACACACAGATGTCACTGCGCTGCCCCTACAGGACACAGATGTCACTGCGCTGCCCCTACAGGCACACAGATGTCACTGCGCTGCCCCTACAGGACACAGATGTCACTGCGCTGCCCCTACAGGACACAGATGTCACTGCGCTGCCCCTACAGGACACAGATGTCACTGCGCTGCCCCTACAGGACACAGATGTCACTGCGCTGCCCCTACAGGCACACAGATGTCACTGCGCTGCCCCTACAGGACACAGATGTCACTGCGCTGCCCCTACAGGACACAGATGTCACTGCGCTGCCCCTACAGGACACAGATGTCACTGCGCTGCCCCTACAGGACACAGATGTCACTGCGCTGCCCCTACAGGACACAGATGTCACTGCGCTGCCCCTACAGGACACAGATGTCACTGCGCTGCCCCTACAGGACACAGATGTCACTGCGCTGCCCCTACAGGACACAGATGTTACTGCGCTGCCCCTACAGGCACACAGATGTCACTGCGCTGCCCCTACAGGACACAGATGTGCGCTGCCCCTACAGGACACAGATGTTACTGCGCTGCCCCTACAGGCACACAGATGTCACTGCGCTGCCCCTACAGGACACAGATGTGCGCTGCCCCTACAGGACACAGATGTCACTGCGCTGCCCCTACAGGACACAGATGTTACTGATGTTAACGCTTCTGTTGGAATGGCGTGGATCTGGACTCTGACGCTGCGTTCTCGCCGCAGGATTCACATCTGATGTTTAAACAGTTTATTCTTTGTCAAAGTCTTCGGACAAACCCTTCATCGACCAAAGAACATTTTGCTGCTGCCGTTTTCCACTGGAGCGAAAAAACAATTCTGTAAATAAATATGGTGGTATCGGACTGTTGTGGTGAAAAGGGAGCAGCGTCTGCAGTCAGAGCTCTGCACCGCTCAGTCCATGTTCTCACGATGGTCAAGAGCCTCAGGGTCGGACTCACAGGACCAGGTGGAGGACTCAAGGATCCACATGAGGTTCCTCCAGAGTGACTTGGTGGTGCCTTAGAGGGCGAGGAGCTCAGAGTAGAGCTGCTGCTCCTCTATGGACAGGTTGAATGTGACTGAGGAAGCTGTGCATTAGTCTGATGTGTGTGTGTGGGAGATTAGCAGTCTGTCCTAGGGCAGCTGTGGCGACAGCTGTAGTTCACAGAAACTGACACACGGCTGCGGCAACATCGGCCCCTACTGGCCACAGAGCGCATGTGCGCGTGAGTCAGACAGGTCGGGTAAAGCTGGGGTACATAACTTTAGTTTTTACATAACAATATTTGTTTGTCTAAAGAGAAAGAGTAAAATAGGAACACATTTGACTCACTTTACTCAAACATAGTTCTTTAAGTCACTATTGGACTCTTTGGGCTGATTGGCTGGGGGCGGGTCTCTGATCTAAAGACGTGACAGAGGCCAAACAGAAACAACTGGTTTAAACATGGGTTTATTACAGAGTTCTATTGTGGCTGGAAGTTACGTACCCCAGCTTTAATCCAGAGTAATCCTGATGTTTGTCTCTTTGAGACAGAAGAACTGTTTGAAGTGGATTCTTTATATAAAGTTTATATATATATATATTTACTCATGTGTCCGTCCTGATGGAACGTGAAGGAAATGCCTCTTTCCTCTGTGAGTGTGTGAGTGTCAGTTTGTGTGCGTGTTTGTGTGTCTGTGAGTGTGTGCAAGTATGTGTGTGTGTATGACTCTGATCTTTATTGTATGGTATTTAATGATATTCTTCTTAATCCTGAATAATCCAGATTATCTGTTTGTTAAGAACCATTTATAAGCTTCAAGTGAGACTCAAATATATGTGACCAATATGAATAAAACGTCTCTGAACATGTCTCTGTGTGTGTGTAACTGTGTGTGTTTGTATATGTGTGTGTGTACTCATTACATTTAGTTTTTCACCAACAGAGTGAGGACATTTAGGTCTTGACTCTCCTCTGCCCCCTGTGGCCACAAACAGAACTAGAGTTTGTGAACCCTTTGGACAGAAAGATAAATCTATAAAGTCTTTATAACAAACAGAAAAGTCACATCACAGACCAGCGTCAGAGACCCATCCTCTCCTCCAGAGACCAGTCCTGTCCCCTCTGAAGAAAAGCAGCCTAAGCTTTCTACCAAAGCCACAGACAGATTTATATCACACACTTTACTTGCAGAAGTTTTATTAGTTTAGTTTTGAACATTATTAACAAGGATGTAAACTCGTGTAGCTCAGAATCTCTCCTGACAATATGTTACATTCTGACCCAGGCCAGACCCGGGTCTGGCCTCGGAGCAACACAAACACTGATATGGCAACTTACAAAAGACAAACCAATAAAAAGAAGGAATGTGGCACTAAATGTTTACAAAACAAATATGTTACAAAGAGCTGTTCATCTTTAAACAATTATGAAAAATGTCAAATGTTAGTTCTTTAAATCAGCGACCCCCAAACCCCCGCACGACCAGGACACACGGCCATTATTCTAAACAAAGCATTGTTTAAACTCGGACCATAAAAAACAGAAGTCCCTGGTTCTGGGCCGCGGACCGAAGGTTGGGAACCAAAGCATTCATTACAAAGGAAATTCATTTGAAGGAAAATCGTCCCTTTATCGTTTAATTCCCAAAATAAATAACATTTAAAATCAGAGTTGTTTCTACCAAAGAGCAACGAGCGTCTGGGGGCGCCATCAGCGCCACACGTGTGTGTCATGTGACTGTTACAGACACACACTGTGTGTCATGTGACTGTTACAGACACACACTGTGTCATGTGACTGTTACAGACACACACTGTGTGTCATGTGACTGTTACAGACACATACTGTGTGTCATGTGACTGTTACAGACACACACTGTGTCATGTGACTGATACAGACACACACTGTGTCATGTGACTGATACAGACACACACTGTGTCATGTGACTGATACAGACACACACTGTGTGTCATGTGACTGTTACAGACACACACTGTGTCATGTGACTGATACAGACACACACACAGTGTCATGTGACTGTTACAGACACACACACAGTGGCATGTGACTGTTACACACAGTGTCATGTGACTGTTACACACACATAACACACACGTGTGTGTTATGTGACCTGTTTTCTGGGGACACAAAGATGTAGATGTTAGAATATTAAATGAAAGGTGTAAGTTTTTGTGATAATAAAAGTGAATATAAAAATGTATTTACAGCAGATTGATAAATACAGAGTGTGTTGGTGAAGCTCACACATGGGCCCCCAGACACGGCCCCCAGACACGGCCCCCAGACACGGACCTGGACCATTCTCTTTGTCCAATGAATAGACGATACTGAAGCCGTGATGTCAGTTCCACGGTGCAGTCGTGTGACATCACATCCACAGGTTTGTTCAGAAAACTTCATGATCGTGTTTAAAGTCCACCTCCTCCAACACCACAGCTCAGACTTTACTGAAGCGGCTTCATAGAAACACACTTTCACTTTCACACTCCATGTTTTTACTTAAAGGTCCCATGTTCTGGAATGCTAACTTTACTTTGGACCAGAGCAGAGAAAATGGTCTGAACCAAGCTCCACCTCTGCTGCTGTGACCTGTCCTGCTCCACCCAGAGGCTACTCCACCTCTGCTGCTGTGACCTGTCCTGCTCCACCCAGAGGCTACTCCACCTCTGCTGCTGTGACCTGTCCTGCTCCACCCAGAGGCTACTCCACATCTGCTGCTGTGACCCGTCCTGCTCCACCCAGAGGCTACTCCACCTCTGCTGCTGTGACCTGTCCTGCTCCACCCAGAGGCTACTCCACCTCTGCTGCTGTGACCTGTCCTGCTCCACCCAGAGGCTACTCCACATCTGCTGCTGTGACCTGCCCTGCTCCACCCAGAGGCTACTCCACCTCTGCTGCTGTGACCCGTCCTGCTCCACCCAGAGGCTACTCCACCTCTGCTGCTGTGACCTGTCCTGCTCCACCCAGAGACTACTCCACCTCTGCTGCTGTGACCCGTCCTGCTCCACCCAGAGGCTACTCCACCTCTGCTGCTGTGACCTGTCCTGCTCCACCCAGAGACTACTCCACCTCTGCTGCTGTGACCCGTCCTGCTCCACCCAGAGGCTACTCCACCTCTGCTGCTGTGACCCGTCCTACTCCACCCAGAGGCTACTCCACCTCTGCTGCTGTGACCCGTCCTGCTCCACCCAGAGGCTACTCCACCTCTGCTGCTGTGACCCGTCCTGCTCCACCCAGAGGCTACTCCACCTCTGCTGCTGTGACCTGTCCTGCTCCACCCAGAGGCTACTCCACCTCTGCTGCTGTGACCTGTCCTGCTCCACCCAGAGGCTACTCCACCTCTGCTGCTGTGACCTGTCCTGCTCCACCCAGAGGCTACTCCACCTCTGCTGCTGTGACCCGTCCTGCTCCACCCAGAGGTTACTCCACCTCTGCTGCTGTGACCCGTCCTGCTCCACCCAGAGACTACTCCACCTCTGCTGCTGTGACCCGTCCTGCTCCACCCAGAGGCTACTCCACCTCTGCTGCTGTGACCTGTCCTGCTCCACCCAGAGACTACTCCACCTCTGCTGCTGTGACCCGTCCTGCTCCACCCAGAGGCTACTCCACCTCTGCTGCTGTGACCCGTCCTACTCCACCCAGAGGCTACTCCACCTCTGCTGCTGTGACCCGTCCTGCTCCACCCAGAGGCTACTCCACCTCTGCTGCTGTGACCCGTCCTGCTCCACCCAGAGGCTACTCCACCTCTGCTGCTGTGACCTGTCCTGCTCCACCCAGAGGCTACTCCACCTCTGCTGCTGTGACCTGTCCTGCTCCACCCAGAGGCTACTCCACCTCTGCTGCTGTGACCTGTCCTGCTCCACCCAGAGGCTACTCCACCTCTGCTGCTGTGACCTGTCCTGCTCCACCCAGAGGCTACTCCACCTCTGCTGCTGTGACCTGTCCTGCTCCACCCAGAGGCTACTCCACCTCTGCTGCTGTGACCTGTCCTGCTCCACCCAGAGGCTACTCCACCTCTGCTGCTGTGACTGTCCTGCTCCACCCAGAGGCTACTCCACCTCTGCTGGTGTGACCCGTCCTGCTCCACCCAGAGACTACTCCACCTCTGCTGCTGTGACCTGAAGGGCTGTTGCTGATTATTACTATTGTTAGCGTTTTTAGAATGATCCATTTATTTGTTTGTTTGTTTGTTTGGATGTTTGGATGTGTTTCTCCAACAGGATCAATAAAGTATCTCTGTCTATGTCACTTCAATTTAAACACGTGGATCTCCTCTACCCCCCCCCTCCCCGTTTCACGCCCGCAGATTGAAACCATTGGATCTGAGTTTACTGTGACGTATGTAATGAGCCCGAGTCTGTCGGTAGCATTTAGACTAGCTTTAGCCATCTCCTTTGCTGCTAACGGAGCCCGTGGGGAGTTGCGCCACAATCTTTCCAGCGATTACATTTGATAAACATTCCTCTTGCTCCGGCTTCAGTTTCTTGATAGAACCAGACCTGATTACTTTACTATCACATTCTTCACCAAACTACAACCTGCCCGTTCAGAGCAAACTCTTGACGTCACCCACATCTAACTACAACACCCGCCTCCCGCGCTCTCTGATTGGTCGGATGGAATTCAAACGATTGTTATCACAAACACAGGGACCAGACCCAGACGTTAATGAGCGGAGAGTACGGATGGACTAATGCCAGACTATGGGACCTTTAATGGTTTCCAGTTTGATTAGATTTTTTTCTTACTTTGAACCTGCAACGATGAAGACATTTGGATTCAAGAAAAGGAAACAAAATCATGAAAACTGACATAAATAATAAATGTTAGTAACTGAAGTCTTTAATCTGGTGACTTTCTCGGCGTCCGTAAGAAAGAGATGGTTCCAGTTTCTTTTGTACAAAATATAACATTTCCTTCTCACTTCTTTTTACATTTAAGGGTTTTTTTATGAGTGCAGCTGCTTCAGAAAAATACATGAGCACTGTACAAAATGAGCACCGTCCTGAGGTCAAAGCAGCGTTTCTCAACCCGAGGCCCGAGGACCAGACGTCGGTCTCAAGAGTGTTTTATTTTCTGGATAAAACACTTTTGAGATTTTGTTCCTAAAGGTCGAGGAAAACTGCTTTAACTGACCTCAAAATCACTTCAATGATAATAAAGTATGAATAATAATAAATATATGTGTTATGGGGCTGTCAATCACATGGTCAGAGTTTGTTGTCCACATTTGTCCCTGTTTTAATCGTCCCTTTAATTGGTTTGAAAAGAGATTGGACTTAGAAAAAAGTTTATAGAAATAAAATAAGGACAGTATTTGAGTTGTCTGATAAAAACTCTGCTTTTGTTATTGCTTTGACAGTTTATAGAATTATTGAAAACGGTAGCAATGACTTGTCAAATAAATATGAGTTTCATGTTTTTTACAGTGTGTGACATCCATAGACTGTAAATAATAACAGACGTAGTCAGGTCTATCTCCGCCGTTCTAATGGGCCAAATAATGGGCTTTCATGGAGTGATTCAAAATGGCTGCGGGGGCTGGAAAATGTGAAAAAACACATCTGTGCATGCGTCAGCTGCACGAGCTCCATTCATTTAAACGAGAGACTTCTAAAGTCCACAGCGACTAAACTAGACTGGTCCAGAACACTCAGCATTGACACACATGTGGAACGGAGCTTTGGGCCAAGAGACAACTTTTGGACCATCCTGTAAAGACGTTTTCCAGAGGTAAGAAGATGCTATATGTTAGCATTGGCTAATTCTTATTACAGGTCCACCCCCACAGGCCCGGGGTGGTACTGCAGCATGTCAGCGCACGTCATTTTGGACACTTTTGAGCTGGGACCCGCCCAAACTGGTGACATCACTACAGCGGAAACAACTACAGCCCCAAATATGGGCGAGTTCCTCTGATATGTCAGCGCCCGTGAAGTCTCATGAACGACTGAGCACAAACCTTTCATTTGAACAGGCCGCCATCTTGGATCAGCGGGTCTCGCCTGGAGCCCAGAGTCACAGCGACACTAATCACACCATATTCATACATAACATTAAATATGTCAGTTATATAAGCATTGAAGTCCAGATAAATAGTGTATTTTTAAAAGAATATTTTTCAGATCCGACGACAAAAACGGTCAGAATGAGACATAATAAAAACAAGAATTTAAAAATCTTGTTGGAGACTGTTGTTGAATAAAACATATTTTTCTCAAATCATGATCAATAAATATCATAAATCCTAAAATCTGACACAATCTTTGAGGTTTGAGTAAAAAAAAGTGTTTTAAATAAAGTTAATAAAATTAGAAAAGAAGAATTGTGACGATGCTCATTTTTACAGTGACCTCAAAACTGACGGAACTTTACAAAACTAAAATATATTTTACAAAGTGGAGGTTCAGGACCAGGTGAGGCTTTGGGACGGACATGCGCTGGACAGACTCCCACAGACCGAGGTGTGAGGCTCATGGGCACGAGGTCAGTGCTGCACCGTCACCTGCCACACGATCAGGTGACTGCGCTCCGAGCGGAGAGGCGGCGAGCGAGCGGCGCCCGGCTCCGACACGGCGTCCAGGTCCCCGCCCTCATCCCCTGCAACAAGAGACCAGGACTGAGGAGAGACCAGAGACCAGAGAGAGACCAGAGACCAGAGAGATCAGAGAGAGACCAGAGACCAGAGAGACCAGAGAGAGGCCAGAGAGAGACCAGAGAGAGACCAGAGAGAGACCAGAGAGAGACCAGAGAGAGACCAGAGAGAGACCAGAGACCAGAGAGAGACCAGAGAGAGAGACCAGAGAGAGACCAGAGAGAGACCAGAGAGAGACCAGAGAGAGACCAGAGACCAGAGAGAGACCAGAGAGAGAGACCAGAGAGAGACCAGAGAGAGACCAGAGAGAGACCAGAGAGAGACCAGAGAGAGAGACCAGAGAGAGACCAGAGAGAGACCAGAGAGAGACCAGAGACCAGAGAGACCAGAGAGAGACCAGAGAGAGACCAGAGAGAGACCAGAGAGAGACCAGAGAGAGACCAGAGAGAGACCAGAGACCAGAGACCAGAGAGACCAGAGAGAGACCAGAGAGAGACCAGAGACCAGAGAGACCAGAGAGAGACCAGAGAGAGACCAGAGACCAGAGAGACCAGAGAGAGGCCAGAGAGAGACCAGAGAGAGACCAGAGAGAGACCAGAGAGAGAGACCAGAGAGAGACCAGAGAGAGACCAGAGAGACCAGAGAGGGACCAGAGAGAGACCAGAGAGAGACCAGAGAGAGAGACCAGAGAGACCAGAGAGACCAGAGACCAGAGAGACCAGAGACCAGAGAGAGACCAGAGAGACCAGAGACCAGAGAGAGACCAGAGAGACCAGAGACTAGGACTGAGGAGAGACCAGAGACCAGAGACCAGGACTGAGGAGAGACCAGAGAGACCAGAGAGAGACCAGAGAGAGACCAGAGAGAGACCAGAGAGAGACCAGAGACCAGAGAGAGACCAGAGAGAGACCAGAGAGAGAGACCAGAGAGAGACCAGAGAGGGACCAGAGAGAGACCAGAGAGGGACCAGAGAGAGACCAGAGAGAGACCAGAGAGAGACCAGAGAGAGAGACCAGAGAGAGAGACCAGAGAGAGACCAGAGAGAGACCAGAGATAGACCAGAGAGAGACCAGAGAGAGACCAGAGAGAGACCAGAGAGAGACCAGAGAGAGAGACCAGAGAGAGACCAGAGAGAGAGACCAGAGAGAGAGACCAGAGAGGGACCAGAGAAGGACCAGAGAGAGACCAGAGAGAGACCAGAGATAGACCAGAGAGAGACCAGAGAGAGACCAGAGAGAGACCAGAGAGAGACCAGAGAGAGAGACCAGAGAGAGACCAGAGAGAGACCAGAGAGAGACCAGAGAGAGAGACCAGAGAGGGACCAGAGAAGGACCAGAGAGACCAGAGAGAGACCAGAGAGAGACCAGAGAGAGACCAGAGAGGGACCAGAGAGGGACCAGAGAGGGACCAGAGAGAGAGACCAGAGAGAGACCAGAGAGAGACCTGAGAGAGACCAGAGACCAGAGAGAGACCAGAGAGAGACCAGAGAGAGACCAGAGAGGCACCAGAGAGGGATCAGAGAGAGACCAGAGAGGGACCAGAGAGAGACCAGAGAGAGACCAGAGAGAGACCAGAGAGAGACCAGAGACCAGAGAGAGACCAGAGAGAGACCAGAGAGAGACCAGAGAGAGAGACCAGAGAGGGACCAGAGAGACCAGAGAGAGACCAGAGAGAGACCAGAGAGAGACCAGAGAGGGACCAGAGAGGGACCAGAGAGAGACCAGAGAGAGACCAGAGAGAAAGACCAGAGAGAGACCAGAGAGAGAGACCAGAGAGGGACCAGAGAGGGACCAGAGAGAGACCAGAGAGAGACCAGAGAGACCAGAGAGAGACCAGAGAGAGACCAGAGAGAGACCAGAGAGAGACCAGAGAGAGACCAGAGAGAGACCAGAGAGGGACCAGAGAGGGACCAGAGAGAGACCAGAGAGAGACCAGAGAGAGACCAGAGAGAGACCAGAGAGGGACCAGAGACCAGAGAGAGACCAGAGAGAGACCAGAGAGAGACCAGAGAGAGAGACCAGAGAGGCACCAGAGAGGGATCAGAGAGAGACCAGAGAGGGACCAGAGAGAGACCAGAGAGAGACCAGAGAGAGACCAGAGAGAGACCAGAGACCAGAGAGAGACCAGAGAGAGACCAGAGAGAGACCAGAGAGAGACCAGAGAGGGACCAGAGAGGGACCAGAGAGACCAGAGAGAGACCAGAGAGAGACCAGAGAGAGACCAGAGAGGGACCAGAGAGAGACCAGAGAGAGACCAGAGAGAAAGACCAGAGAGAGACCAGAGACCAGAGAGAGACCAGAGAGAGACCAGAGAGAGACCAGAGAGAGACCAGAGAGGGACCAGAGAGGGACCAGAGAGACCAGAGAGAGACCAGAGAGAGACCAGAGAGAGACCAGAGAGGGACCAGAGAGAGACCAGAGAGAGACCAGAGAGAGAGACCAGAGAGAGACCAGAGAGAGACCTGAGAGAGACCAGAGACCAGAGAGAGACCAGAGAGAGACCAGAGAGAGACCAGAGAGAGAGACCAGAGAGGCACCAGAGAGGGATCAGAGAGAGACCAGAGAGGGACCAGAGAGAGACCAGAGAGAGACCAGAGAGAGACCAGAGAGAGACCAGAGACCAGAGAGAGACCAGAGAGAGACCAGAGAGAGACCAGAGAGAGACCAGAGAGGGACCAGAGAGGGACCAGAGAGACCAGAGAGAGACCAGAGAGAGACCAGAGAGAGACCAGAGAGGGACCAGAGAGAGACCAGAGAGAGACCAGAGAGAAAGACCAGAGAGAGACCAGAGAGAGAGACCAGAGAGAGACCAGAGAGAGACCAGAGAGACCAAAGAGAGACCAGAGAGAGACCAGAGAGAGACCAGAGAGAGACCAGAGAGAGACCAGAGAGGGACCAGAGAGGGACCAGAGAGAGACCAGAGAGAGACCAGAGAGAGACCAGAGAGGGACCAGAGAGGGACCAGAGAGAGAGACCAGAGAGGCACCAGAGAGGGATCAGAGAGAGACCAGAGAGAGACCAGAGAGAGACCAGAGAGAGACCAGAGCGAGACCAGAGAGAGACCAGAGAGAGACCAGAGAGAGACCAGAGAGAGACCAGAGAGAGACCTGAGAGAGACCAGAGACCAGAGAGAGACCAGAGAGAGACCAGAGAGAGAGACCAGAGAGGCACCAGAGAGGGATCAGAGAGAGACCAGAGAGGGACCAGAGAGAGACCAGAGAGAGACCAGAGAGAGACCAGAGAGAGACCAGAGACCAGAGAGAGACCAGAGAGAGACCAGAGAGAGACCAGAGAGAGGGACCAGAGAGGGACCAGAGAGACCAGAGAGAGACCAGAGAGAGACCAGAGAGAGACCAGAGAGGGACCAGAGAGGGACCAGAGAGAGACCAGAGAGAGACCAGAGAGAGACCAGAGAGAGACCAGAGAGAGAGACCAGAGAGAGACCAGAGAGAGACCAGAGAGAGAGACCAGAGAGAGACCAGAGAGAGACCAGAGAGAGAGACCAGAGAGGGACCAGAGAGAAAGACCAGAGAGAGACCAGAGAGAAAGACCAGAGAGAGACCAGGTCTGTCCTTGTGTCTTACCCATTCTGAAGTCGATGTATCCCTCTCCTCCGCTCATGACCAGAAAAGTTTCGGGCTCGGAGCTGTTGGTGTCGGAGGACTCTGAGGGCGGGTCGTCTGAGCCCGAGTCTGCGCTGCCCGGAGGCGGGACGGCCTGGCCTGGGACACAACAACAGTCACTGACCTGGAGCAGTGTTTAACTCCATCCATTACTCACTTTTAACAAGTGCGAAAACTGGTCTTTATAACTGCAACTGAAGTACAGCACAATGCTAATGCTAACTTCTGACAGTAAACAGTGTGTTACTATGGTAACAGTAAACAGTGTTTTGCTATGGTAACAGTAAACAGTGTGTTGCTACGGTAACAGTAAGTAGTGTGTTGCTATGGTAACAGTAAGTAGTGTGTTGCTATGATAACATTAAGTAGTGTGTTGCTATGGTAACAGTGAACACTGTTGCTAT